AACTCAATTTCTGGCCTTTGCTGATCAAGCCCCAAGTGCCCAGCACTGTCAGCTGAAGACACCCAAGGCTGCTCTCCCCTTTGTCTACCCGGAGCAGGCTTAGTACCCAAGACTATGGACACAGGAAACAATGGGGTGGGGAGCATCCCACTTTTGGGGGAGCTGCCTGTGGGTTCAGAATTCAGGGCTCCTGCTCAAGAAGTCCTGAGAAAAGAGGGCCCACCTGGGATCCCACAGAGTCCTGCCACTGTCACTCACTCTAGAGGAGCAGCCCTGGGTCCAGTGCACCAGGACCCAGCCATTAACAGCAACCATCCCTCACCTACAGATGAGGAAAGAAGCCCTAGAGACACTGATATAGCTCAGCCAGGGCCAATGACCCCTGATGCCAGATTCCTCATAGTCTAGAACGAAAGGTCCAGATATACACCTACCAGACTATCCTGAGCCTGTAGGGGCTGCAAGCCCAAGCAGCTCAGTTAGACTTACATGGACAAGTGTGAACCCAAGCAGGGTCCTTTCTGGCTCTTGCTGGGGTCTAGATGAGCTCCTAGGACACTAGGCCCCCAGTGGATCCTGGCAGCTTGGCCTCTGATCCTTCAGTCCCTGCCTCCAATACCTGAGCGGGGGTCCATTAAAATGCAGTGCTCAAGGTAACCCCCAAACTCTACCTCTCACTCTCAGGTGTCCAGCTCCTCCTCCACCCCTCATGCTTTCCATCTGCATTTATAAATCACCTACTAGGTGCTCTGTACCTGACTAGGCCCTGGAGGTCCAAACATATAGGCAAGAAGTGAGTTATAGGGCGCCTGGGTGGCTCAGTCAGTTAAGTGCCTGCCTTTGGCTCAGGTCATGATCCCAGGGACCTGGGATTGAGCCCCGCATCAGGCTCCCTGCTCAGCAGGGAGCCTGCTTCTCCCTCTCCCTCTGCCCCTCCCCCCACTTGTGCTATCTCCTTATCTGTGTCTCTCAAATAAATCTTTTTTAAAAAATGAAATGAAAAAAAAAATGAAATGAGTTATACTGAGGATCACGTAGGGGTCAGCTTGGCAGCCTGGTTTATCCAGAAGGCTCTTGGGAATAGGGCAGGGAGGTTGGACTGGGGGGGGGGGATCTTCTCCAGGACCCCAAGTCTTTTTGACATTGTCCTTAAAGAGAGCATCTATCTACTGATGACTCCCAGTCCTGTCTGTCTGGCCCTGACCTGGGTACCTCCAGGGAGGGGCACTCTGGGCATGGGTCAGCCCCTGCCCCACACCCCACAACACTCTCATTTCACCTAGAGACCCAGAGAAGTGAAGCCATACTCTCAAGATCACGTAGCAACTCAGTGACTGTTTTGCTTGGGTGCCTCCAGCACATGGAGTCAGAAGTTTCTTCCAGATGGCACTGCCCCGTAAGCACAGTTAGCCCCACACAGGATTGTGCTAACCCCACCAGGTCCCACACAACAACTTTCTCCCTGAACTCAGTCTTCTTGAGGGGGAGGGGGTGCAAGAGGGGGGTGTAGAACTTCTCCAAACAACACAGGCTCTGCTTCACCTTTCACCCTTTAAAGGATCTCATGCCTCTCCACACCTCACCCCTCCTAGGAGCCCTTTCTCTCAGCACCCCCTGCTGGGGACAAAGCCCCACTACTCCCTAGCATGTCAGCCGAGGCTTTGCTAGGGGCCATGGAGTCATGTGGACCTGCCTGCATCAGAAGCCTCTCCAGCCTGCCAGCGCATCTGCCCCCCTCCAGACCTTCTCTCACTCCCCAGCTCTGGTTGGGAAATAGCCCTGTCCTGGGACCCCCTACTCACCCAGCTGACCCAGTAACTTTCAGGAATACCACCCACCCCACTCTGGCCACATCTTCCAGGACCTGGCCTTTCCAGGCCACTGGGGAAAAGGAAGTGCTTGCTGGAGTCCCAGAGAAGACCACAACCTTCTGCATGTACAGGGCAGGGGACCCACACCAGGTTGGCCGGGTACTGGGATGACCCCTGAGGGCCAACAAAACAGTCATGGGGACAGGGGCCGCTACGCTGGGACCCAGGGCTGTGCCCTCCTTCAGACTGCAGCGAAGTACTGCCCCACACCTCGGTGCCAGGCCGGAGCCAGGAGCCCCAGATGGAGGTTCAGCAGCTTACCCGAGACCCTGACAGAGCCCGCCCCCTGTCCCAACTGCGCTGCCTTCCAAGGTTCCTCCGGGCTCGCAGGTCCCCTCCTCCAGGTGCGCACCCCAGACTCACTCCCTCCCCGTCTCTCTCACTCGCACTCCAGATGCGCGGGGAGCAGGCGCCGTCGCGCCGGGAGGGTCTGGGGTCTGCCGCCCCCCGCCCCGTCTCCCCGCTCCCCCGGGCGTCCTCCCACCTCCACCGCCGGTTGGCCCGCGCGTGCCCGCGCCGCCCGCCCCCGAGGCCCCCGCAGCCCGGGCCGGGAGCGGCGAGCCCGCGTTCCTACCCGCTCCACATCCCGGCGCCGCCGCGAGCTCCCCGCGCCGCCGCCCCGGGCCGGATCCCAGCCCGCCGCCCGTCGGGCCCGCCCGCGCCCCCCGCGCCCTGTCCCCGACCCGGCGGGTCACGTGGCCGAGGGGGTGGCCCGAGGACACGCGCCCGGCCCCGCCCTCCGCCGGCCGCGCGCCCCGGGACGGGCGAAGGCTGGAGCAGGGGAGGAGCCCGCGGGCGGCGCGTCCTGCGGCCCCGCCCCGAGGCGCCTGCGGTCCCCCTGCCGCCCCTGCACCCGGCGGCTCGCGAACCTCGGCGGGCGGTCCTCGGCAGCCGGCCGCCGCCCCCGCGCCCCGCGCCCCCCGCCCCCCGCCCGCCCGCCGGCCCCGTTGCCCCCCCGTGCGCTGGCTCCGGAACGGCGGGGAACGGGCCAGTCCCCAGAACAAGTTTCCTGGGTTCACTCTGAGTGCTTAGCGCCCGGGAGGATGGACGCACCTTCGGCGGAAGTCTTCAGCCTCAAGCCCAGCCCTTCCTCACCCCCACCCCTCCTATTCTGAACACCCCCTGCCCATCCCTTTCCTGCCTTTGCCCAGCATCTACTGGGGGGGGGGATGCACCCCCACCACGCACAGCGCACAGCGGTCTGGTTTTAGGTCCTCTGCAAAACCTCTCCCTGCATCCCAGACCACTTGTCTTCCTGTCCCTCCATCCCTCTGTCACCGGTCCTGAGCCTGGACTACTGGCCTCATCTTCAGCCTGGGGCTGGATCCAATGAGTATAGCTCCTTTTATCTTCTGCCAGGGACCGTGGCTCCCACCCTCTGTGTCTAGAGAGGCCTAGGAGGCCAGGAGAAAGAAGGTGCACCCCTTCCAGATGCTACCAGAACTCAAGACAGGACTCTTCCAGGTCCACAGAGCTGGGACCCCAGGCTTGAATTTGTCAGGTCTTCACTGGGGACACACATTTGTTTCATTCATCCTTTTTTTTGTTGGTTTGGTCATCCATTCATCCATCCCTCCGGGGCACAAACTATGGACCATAAAAAGCCTGGGGACCCAAAGGGAAACTGCACAGACACATGCCCTGTCATCCTGGGGTTCCAATGTGCTAAGGAGGTGGGGGTGGGAGACACTCACAAGGGCTTCCACTTCCAGGGCCACCCTGGACACACTCTACTAAGTGCACGTGTCTTTGTCAAAAATGTAAGATGGTACTGCCTTCCTAGATGAGCATAGCCCATGCCAAGGTGTAGGACTTGGTGAGTGGAGGATAGGCTAAATGGATTTCTTACTTTGCTAACTCACTCACTGCACAAGGTGCCAGCAACCTGAGCAGCCCACTGTGACATCCCTTCTGACTTACCAGAATCATTCTGCCCAGACCTCCAATGCCCTTCACTCCACAGGGCAACTGTTTCTCAGACTGTGGTTTCCCAAGGGCAGGGCCATCTCCTCAGTGCAGTGGGGCTCTCGACCTATCCCAGCCTAGTCCAGGGTCTGGCCCAAAGCAGATGTCATTGTGTTTGACTTGAATCCTATACCATCTAAGTCTTGAGCAACAGCTATCTTCCTGGCCCTTGCTCTGTTCATTATTTAGGGGAAGGGGAGAAGAAAAGGCGCTCAGGACAGGGCCCTCACCCTCCAAGACTTCACAAGCCGGGGCAGGAGATAAGATTGGTCCAAGTCATAGTAACCCAGACTGGTGGGAGATAAGGCATGGAGGGGGTGTCAGCCCAGGCGAAGGCCCCAGAGGAAGAGTCCTTAGCAGGACAGGGGAGGGCCAGTGGGCTGTGGGAGGCCCTTAAGTGAGGCCTCCAAGGACAAATGTGGGGTCACCACTCTGGGAATGCTGTCATCCCAGTTACTACCTAAAAATATCACATCATCTATACATCCAGTGACCTTCAATTCCCAGGCCTCACTAGCTCCTCCCACAGCCCAGTGAGCTCTACTCAGCTGAGAAGGATGGGCTCAGAGAAGTTCAGGAACTCACCCCATGTCACACAGCCAGGGGCGGTGAGCCTGTGACCCCTCCTTACACTAATTTTCTAAATAGCCCAGAAACTAGAGAACTCACTTGAAGCTGCAGCAGTATGCTGTCAGGCAAAAAGGGAAGCTTCCTAGGGGCCTGGCCAACAGGTGGGGAGGGAGAAGTAAAAGGTCAAGGCTTCAAACCATGGTCCTACTCCACCGCCCCATATTCCCCCTCCCCACCTGACAGCCTTGACCACAGAGCCTTGGCTGGAGGCAGATGAGGAACAGGAAACTGCCAGCCTGGATGACCCGGGGCCCCAATTCTGACTTCAGTCTCTCCTCAACTAACCGTATGACTCAGGGTATTTGTCTTGCCGTCTCTCATCCTCAGACTCTGTGTCTGTACCACACCAAGTTAGACAATCAGGGTCACTCCTCAACACTGACCTTGTAGGAGGCTCATGAAATTCCTCAGAGTTCTCAGTCCGTCCCCTGTCCCAAGCCTGGCTTCTTCTTCCCTCCTCCCCCAATGTCTCTCCAGAGTGGCAAGACTCCCCGCCTGCCAACCCCTCCTCTGTGCCCCAGGTCACTGGCTCACCTGTCTGTGTCCCAGGGCTCCTCTTCCAAGTTACCCTCTGGTGTGGGGCCCAGAACCGATGGGGCGTAGTGGACAGCCCCTGAGCTCAGTGCCAGGAACACGGGGCATGATCCTCGGGCAGGGCACCTGCTGTGCTCCTTGGGGTCATCCATGCCAGGGCCAGCCCGAGGGTCCCTCTGGAGACCGCCAGGCAGGCAGGTGGCAGAAGCCTTCTCCCCAACCCTGCGCAGAGCCTCACGCTAACCTTTGCTATCTCTGAGGAGCAGCAGTCTGGGAGAAAGGCCCCTCCCAGCAAGCCTCTATCTCCTGAAGCCCCATAATTATTAACTCCTATGGCTCAGCGGGCAGCAGAAGGTGCTGGGGCCCTTCTCCCTGGGAAGGTGAGACTCCCTGAGGGGTTGTGGGAGCTTTCTTCCACATGCCCGAGACCTCCAGCTTCCACGAGGCCCGAAGGAGGAGCTGCCTGTCCCCTGCCTGGCCAGGTTGGCCAGTTGGAAAGATCCAGCACAGACACTATCACTAGCTGGTTGTGTGGCTTTGGGCAAGCACCTCTGCCTGCTCCAGGCCCCGTCCTTGGTCTCAATAACCCCTTAAAGCTTATAACCACCAATAAAAAGGCACAATTCAGTGTAGCAGTTAAGAACACAGGCCCGGTGTCACATGGGCTGGATTCAACCCCACTCCAGACTATGAGCCTTCGGGCATGCCACTCTCTCTGTGACTCAGTTTCCCAACTATAATAAGGAAATCTCACCCTCTAAGGCACACCAAGCCAGCTGCCACTGCCTAGACATGCCCTACACCACGCCTTTCCTCACACAAGACCCTCTGCGCACGCAAGTCCTACCCCCTGCAGATAAATCTTTTTTGTTTATACCACCCCTTCACCAGGAAGCCTTCTGCCCTGAGGACTGTTTTCCCCCCATAGCACAGGGGTGAAGCCCTCAGGCACATATCCACCTGCGTCATGACGGAGTAGACCTATTTGACACCCCCACAAGAACTGAGTGACCCTGTGGGCAGAGGCTGGCCCACACTGACCTCCAAATCCTCAGCACCCCCTTATCTGGGACACGGTTAGCATCAGTCCACCGGGATGGTTTGAACGTTCCACCCTGCTTCATTTGGCTTGAAAACTCATCCTAGCTCTGCTGGTCTATGGCTGTGTGACCTGAGACAAGTCCCTTCACCTCCCTAGGACTCAGTTTCCTCATCTGTAAAAGGGGACCAACTGTCTTCAATGAAGTTGTACCGGGGAAGGGTCTGCCACGCTTGACATGAGTGTTCTCTGGCTTTCTCCCTCCCTTTCCCTCTTCTTTCCTGTCAGCCTCCGACCTCCTGAGCGGGAGAAGCTGCCAGTTCCTGCAGAGCAGTCACACCCCCGCCAGCCAGCCTTACCCTGCGGATAACGATATCTCCCACTCAGGCTTCGGGCTTCCAAGCTCTCAGCCTAATGCAAACCAGATGCTGGCCTTGCCTTTCCTGGCAGAGAATTTTTCATGGCCGGCTCCCACCCCCTTCCTGTTTTTGCTCCTCACTGATACCCTGCGAAATTCTCTTGCCATGCCCCCACCTTCCTCTGCAGGGCAACCACCCCCCCCCACCTGGAAACAATTGATGGAAAACAGGAAGTATGAAAGAGGGGAGGGTCTCCCCATCACCCCACGACCTGGCAGGAGGGGAAGGAGCTCAGCCCAGCTGCTCACAAAGCGTATGAAAGCTAGTTCCCCACTGCCAAGCACCAGCCCGCCCCTGGGGGGTGGAGTGGAGAGGAAACTGAGTCAGAGTTGTCCTGGGGAGTGTCTAGAAAAAAAATGCTACTTTCTGGACATTTAGGCAGAGCCAGAACTTCACCGGGAGCTAGTAGGGCTTTGGCAGCGGCTGTGACTTAAAAAAATCAGAGCCAGAAGAGACCCAAGCCCTGTCCTTCCGGGGTCACCTGTGAGTCAGAGCCAAGAGACAGTCAGGCCTGGGACTGCTTGCCAGTAAAAGCGGCTCGAAGAAGTCACTGAAGTCACTTCCCGGGCTTGCTACCTCATCGGCATTCCCGCTGCCCTTCCCCCACCCAGCCGCGGAGCCTAGCCAGGCGGTCACAGTCACGAGGATGCTCACAAGGCCGCCGCCAGCCGCAGTACCTGGCCAGGCAGACCTGCATCCTCCCCGCCAGGGGCTGTGCACTGGGGACCGAGGCCGGGGGCGAGCCCAGGAGTGTGCCCGTTGGGGGCTCTGCCTTTACCAACTCAGCCCCTTGAACTCCTGCGGGGCCCTCCGCAGACTCCAAAGCAACAGCACAGGGGCTCCCTGGGGGCTGGGCTCTGGCCGCCCCTCCCTCTGCCAGCTGTGCAGAATGTTTGGACAACTGGATGGAATGTTTTGCAACTACAGCCCTCCCAGGATCCCTGAGCTCAGGTTTCAAGAGGGGAGGGAGAGGATGCTGGCTCCAGGGGGAGGGAAGGAGACTCAAGAGGTCAAAGGTGAGTCTGGAGCCCACCTCCCCACTCCCCACCCGGACTCCCAGCCCACCCCGGGCCTGAGGGAGGCCACTGGCCACCCAGCCCCCAGTGTGGTGGAGAGCTGGAGTCAGGCTCATGCCCCTGGGAGAACAGGACAGAGGGTAGAGGCAGACAAATGGTGTCAGAGATCTGGTGAGGCCAACTTGGTGAAGTCAGGCTCTGTAGACAGTCTGGGCTCAGGGAGGGGCAGGGCCCAGGACAGCACTTTGAGAACATCATTGAGATTGCTAAGATTCTGTAACAGAAATGGGTCCATCTTCTACCATCTCTGTTTCACAGATAGAACTCTTGGGGTCCAGAGAGAGTAGGAGATCAACCTCAGTGAAGCAGCATGATGGGTGTAGAGCTGGGCTAGAATCCAGGGCTCCAGATCCTAAGCTCGCTTTTCTCATTATTCAGGCTGTTCCTACCCTCACCTCCAGCCCCAGGGACACATGCACCCCGGCCAGTGAATTACCATCCTTGCTCTTCTGCAGAAGACATAGACAAAATAACCTATGTAAGTTGAGTAGTCCATGTTCACAAAGAGAATGCACAAACGCTAAGCTCACTGCCAGCCTCTGAGAGCATTAACCTACTTGTGGACAAGAGGTGGAGACCCCAAGAGCCAGGATTCTGGCACCATCTCTGACTCTAGGGCTAGAGCTCTACCAGATTCCCCAACACAGCCGCTCAGGCCTCCCAGAGCCCCTTGACTAAAGTTGAGAAGACACATGAGTTCTAGAACCAACTATTTGGAAGAGAGTTGAAGCCTCAGTTTACCCACCTTAAAATTGGATTGTCTTTGCTCTACTTGACCCACCACTATATTGTGGCTGCTGAAGGCAAGGAGTGGAAGGTTCCAGTAGAGCCCTTGGGAGACTTAAATATGTCCTAGAAATAAAGCCCTTGGAGCTCATGTGAAGAAAGGAGGGAGGGGATTCCTTTGAGCCCAGAAGGTTGTAGGAGTCTCATCAAGGTGCCTGGGGGCCTAGGCTGGATTCCTTGAGGTGGAACCTGTTTGGCCATTCCCAGGTCCTGTGGAGGATATTTTACCCACCCAAGGTTTAGCCAGCCAAACCTTCAGAGTCAGATATGAACTAGAGGAGGGTGGGTCTGTCCCCACCCCACAGCTGGTGACTCCCTTCCAAAATGACAGGATAAGGCAGAAAATGGAGGTAGGATCTTTAAGTTTACTTTCTTTCTTTCTTTCTTTCTTTCTTTCTTTCTTTCTTTTTTTTTTTTTTTTTAGTAATCTGTACACCTATCATGGGGCTCAAACTCATAACCAAGACTCACATGCTCCTTTGATCCATTTAGTTTGATCCATTTAGTTCACTCTCAAACCACCTGATGTGATGGTCCTTCATTCCTTTCTGTTCCTATTTTAATGATAAAAGAATGAAGACTAGGAAAAGAGGAAGGGATTTGGCAACAGGGAACAAGTAAGGAATTAGGATTTTAATCCACACTGTCTGACCCCAAAAGCTCGTGTTATTATCCCTTCACCATTCACCTTCTCAAAGGGTAAGGTGAGGCTGTTTTTTTGTTTTTGTTTTTGTTTTTTAGAAAAGAGAGCTTGAAGACTAAGCAGGATTTAAATATATAGAATGGAGGATGGGCATTCTATGCCCAGGGACACGAGAAACAAAGCAGGGACAGAGCAGGGCACAGAAACAGAAGCAAATGCTTCGCTTTGGCTGGAGCTTAAGCTGATTTGGGGAACACTAGAGAAAAGACTGGACAGGCATGCTCGGGATGAATCATGAAGAGAATTAGTGGCCTAGTTAAAGAGTTTGGACTTTATTCCAAAGGCTCCAAGGAGACAGTTAAACGTTTTTGAGCAGAAGGGTGACGTGATCAAAACCCTGCTAAGAGAAGATTAAATTGACAGCAGTGTGCATAGAAAATAGAAATGAACACTTATCAAATATCCAGAGAGGTAAAGGGTTTCTAAACTTAGATGCATTTGAAGAGACCTCAAAAGAAAAAATCAATAGATCTGTTGACATTAAAATTTAAAACTTCTCCATCATCCTCCTTCCACCAAAAAATAACCAAAATTAAAAGGCAAATAGCCTAGGGAAAATATCTCCAGCAAATGGCAAAGTGTTGACATCTTTAATATGTAAAGAATTCACAAAAATCAATGAGAAAAAAAAAACAGCGCAATAAACATGCTTGTGCCTTCATTCATTCGTTTATTCAAGCAACATGTAATGAGCACCTGAACCAGGTGCTGAGAAGATATTCATGGATAAGACATAATTTTTATTTTAAGATTTTATTTATTTATTCATGAGAGACACAGAGAGAGAGGCAGAGACACAGGCAGAAGGAGAAGCAGGCTCCATGCAGGGAGCCTGACACTGGACTCGATCCTGGGTCTCCAGGATCACACCCTGGGCTGAAGGCAGTGCTAAACCGCTGAGCCACCCTGGTTGCCCAGACATAAATTATTTTTAAAAAGTACTTACAGAGGATCTCTGGGTGGCTCAACGGTTTGGCCCCTGCCTTCAGCCCAGGGCGTGATCCTGGAGTCCCGGGATCGAGTCCCACATCGGGTTCCCTGCATGGAGCCTGCTTCTCCCTCTGCCTGTATTCATTCCTCTATGTCTCTCATGAATAAATAAATAAAATATTTAAAATAAATTTAAAAA